AAGAGGGAGAAACCCCCAATGCTCAAATACTTACTATTGGTGGAATCAGAATTCTCAGGCTGAGAATGTTAGGTGCTGCAAGACATGATAAACTTTTAGAAAAATTTATCCCACCTCCAAAGTTTACTAAAAAAATATGCAGCAAAAAAGAAAGGTGCATATGATTTTATTTCTAAGTGCAAAATATAGGCAGGTATCTTCAAAAGCCAAAGCACAGTATTTTACAATGACTGGCTCAAAGAATCTGCTGTATTTCTGGATGTCTTCCTTCACCTATGGCTCTTCTTAACTGAAGCATGGGAAAAAAAAACCCTAGGAAAAATGTTTGAGCCTGGAGAGGCAACAGAAGGCAAGGGAAACAAACCTATGAATCCATGTTTCTGGACTCTTTGGAAACTTGGTTAACGCCAGTTTTCCAAGATGCAAGTCTTTAAGTGGATTTAAAGTGCCAGACAGTATTAATTCTTTCCTACAAAAGATAAAATAAATTTGTATTAATAAAAGAAGTAACCTGAAAACAGAACACAGATCCCAAAAACAAATAGCATAGCATTTCCTTTTTATTATAATAGAACTTCTCTGTCAAACTACAAGAGTTTAAGAACCTTTGGTGGATTAATCCATTCTACTCTACTATACATGTGTGCACCCTATTCAACCAGGTCAAATAAAATAAATCCAGATGAAAAAACTTAATCTTAGTCTGAACACACACAACCCACTGGTTCCCAAACCCACCCAGAAATCACTGAGTCAACTGTATTTGAGTGTGGCGCTCCATCACATTTTCTGTTACTAATCAGAAAGCCAAGAAGATTGGGCTATATGTAATGCCTGCTGAGAACAATGTTGCTTTTATCTGCACACTCTAAAAGCATCCTAATAACACAAACAGCTACTTTTTGTTTGTTTTTTCTTAGATACAAGGGCTGCCAATAGGGTAACAAATATGACTAAATATTCTTTCTTGAAATTAAGCCCTTAGATGGATTCTACCCATCTGAAAATACGGTTACTCTTCCACACAACCCTCCCACCCAACACCACTTACTTTTAGTTCTTAAATATGGCTCAAGATACCGTATCAAGGATCCCTAAATTTCAAAAGAAGTGGTAAATATTCTATGAGTATAGAATGTTTCTCACACTTAACAGAAAGGCTGAAATTGCTACACTTACTAATGTATAAAACAACTTCTGATTTAAAAAAATAAAAGAATTTGTCCTAAAAAAACCTTAATGTTCATCCAACATAATCCTTCCCAGAGCACCTCCAACATAGACAGAGCAAAGTGAAAGTCCATATTTATCCTTCTCTCTTCCTTTGCACCGAACTCCATGCCCCACACCCTATTCTTCTTTCTAAGGTTTATAACTCTTACTGCCTGTCCCAAGCATGTTTGTAGACACCACCCCATCACCAGTTACTCCCAGGACCTAAGCTTCCATATCCTATTCTCCAATCTAGTAGATAGTAGCTTTGAAGTAAAGATACAGTAATTTCAAAAGTTATCATTTGCAGACAGGAAACATGCATTTCCCACAACCTCCAGAAGTCACAACTGAAAACTGAGAGTGCAAGAAGTAGAAAGAATTTTGGCATGGGTTTGGTGGGTTTGTTTGTCTGTTTGTTGGGGGTTTTTTGTGGGTTTGTTTGTTTGGGGTTTTTTTGTTTTGTTTCTTTTTTTAAATAATTTATGATTCATCATAGTAATATGCATGGGACCAGGTTCAGCAAGAGGAGCACCAGTAGGTGGAAGAACAGATGATCAATTTTCTGACCAAAAAAAGAAAGAAAAAAAAAGAGGGGTAGAAGGGGACAGGGAAAAAATCTGCTATTCAGTAAGAATGTAAAACTTCTCTGCAGTCTGACCCAGAACACATAATGTGGTTTTAAAGTTATGTTCAGAGTCTCACAAATAAATTGACATTCCTTTAGTGTGAGCACTTACTGTCATTTTCTGTCTGTTTTCAAAGTTTTCGTAGGAAACTGACTCCAGTTGGTACATTGGCTTTGTGTTGCTTTAACTGAACTGTATACTCACAGTCAGAAGCTAATAGTGACAACACTAACAGCAAGGGGCATATTATTTCACATTCAAGCAAAATGCTGAGATGTACACATCTAGGCACTAGCCTAGACACTTCTTTTGCTACTAAACCAACAGTTGAAAAAATCCTTAGGGGATTTTTGCTCCCAATATCTGGTGAAATCAGTAGAGAACTTCTGCAGAGATTAGAAACACAGCTACTGGGGTATTTCCTTTTATCTGCATCAAGTTCCAGCATTCTTCAGATTGGATGCTTTTAGCAGGTACACAATAGGAAATCCAGGTATACCAGCCAGGAGCAGCAGACTAACCTAACCGGTGACAGTGCATTGACCTTTGAGAAGCAGACAAGCGAAAGATGCAGGAAATGTCAACACTGGAGTAGGTGGAATCAGTGCAAAAGGTGACATTTTGGTAAAAATCACTTACCACATCAAAAAAGAAAAAGCAGCCTGGATGAATCTAACACTCAAAACAAATGCATGTACATACTTAACAAAGATTTAGATTACCACCCACCTATCCACCAAAACCTAAACTCTTGGTAAAGAAACTGGCCTTTCTATATTAAAGTGTTACCTATAAATAAGTAGGCTCACATATATTTACTTCTAAAGTACACTGACTCTTTTGCAAAGTTGATGAACATGACAGACGAGACTCACTTTCACTGCTGTAGTAGAAAAGCAGTTTTTAGCTTAATAGATTTTCAAATGAGAGATCTTCCCATTCACAAGTAAGAGACTTCAATCACAAGTATAAGTAACGTATCATATACTCCCAAATAAATCTCTTTCAGCAAACATCTAACTTGGGATATATAACCTCTATCTCACTTTTTTGCCATGTAGACTATAGATAATTTTTCAGCCTTCAGAATCCTAGCTCCCACAAAAGATAATCTGAAATAATTTTGACTTGCCTTATGTTTTTGCTGACACCTTTGAAGTCATTGATAACTGACAGGAAAGTTTGACTTTTCAGAGTGTCTTATTACTCAGTGTCTTTTGGCTTTCAATTAATTGTGCATGCCAGTAAGGCTATCAGCAAGAACAACACCACCTATGACAATTCCTTTACTTACATATTTTGGTCATTTTAATTTGTAGGATTTTGCAACTTCTGAAAACACAGGATACCTGAAATTATTATTAACTAGAGATGTCTTGTTGCCCATTCAGTGTAATAGGGATTTCCCTCCAAGTTCTAAGATACATGTCTCCTACTTTTTAGCATGCCTTCCTACACCACACAATTAGCTCCTGCTCAGTTTTCACAGTTTAGGATATACATAGTCCCTGCCCTTCTGTAGCTTCCCAGTCACTTCTAATTAAAATAAATAAATAAAAGACAAACCTATGCAGGCATATTGCAATGGCTTAGAATAGCTCCAAAGTCAAGAGAGATTGTCCAGCTCTTCCTAGCAGGTAACACATTCGAAGTTTTACGTTCTCCTACGCTTCACTAACCAGATACAACCTTCTATGATTGTCAGCTGAGCTGAAATGCTCAGTAGCCTTCCACACTGCCTCTCTAGTCTTCTTTGTCTGACAAGTCCTGCCTCCCTTCCGTGGAAGAGATTTCCTTTTCCCACTCTCAAACAACCCTCTTCCTGTATCTTCAAATTCAGTGCTATTGAGTCAACCACTATCTGTGAAGCTCCCAACAGAGAATTCAACATGGGAAAAAGTGATTATCACAGCCTAAAATGAAAGGGTCGTTAAATTTTACAGGAAACACTCTATGTGCAGGGCTGTTATTCAGTAAATAACTATTACACTTTTTCTTATTTAGGCCACTTAGAGTCTATGATGCTTTCTTTCTCTTAAAATAAAACAGTGAATTTGTATTTGCAGAACATAAGATGAATCTGGCATGATAAACATGCTCTGAGCAAGATGAAAACAATGATCCATGGCAGATTTATTGTGTTCTGCAAGCAGAGTGCAAGTCCCACACAATTAGTTCCCAGCTTATACTAGCTCAGAATAAGGATTTACCTCCAGCATCTGTGCAGAACACAGTCTGTCCTCTACTCTGTGACTGTATATGCCACATGTCTGGCTAGCGTGACCTGTAACTTACTGAAGTACAAATCTGATGGAATAGAAGCTGAAATGTTGTGCCAATTAAGTGCCTACCCTTTCAAAAGAGCAAGCTCCTAGCAGCAGCCTAGAACAACATGGGCTCAGATTCAGCAAAGAAGTCCCTTGGCTCAAGCAGGCTTGGTGGTAAACTTCATAGCTACTGACTAGCTGGTATAACAACAGCTTCCTTCTGAATGCTAAATGGAGTTTCAAAGACAGACCACCAACCAGGCCACTGGCCAAGAATTTGGGGAGCAAGGCCACCTTCTGTAGTAATTTGTATACTTTGGTAAACTGTAAATGCCATAAAACAATCCTCATACATATTTCTTAACATTTTTAATTCAAT